TTTTGCGGTACTGGGGTTTGAACTCAGGGCTCCTGCTTATTAGGCAGGTGCTTTACCACTTGAGTGACTCCACCAGCCTTGTTTTGTATTGGATTTTTTCAAGATAGGGTCTCACGAACTATCTGCACAGGGCTGGATTTGAACCATAATCTTCCTGATCTCTACCTTCTAAGTAACTAGGATTACAGGCATGAGCCACCGGTACCCAGTGGTTCATGAGTTTTTGTCTCAAGCTCTGCTTTATAGACAGCCCTGAACAAAACAGATCCAAATATTTTCTTTGCCTAAGCTCTCACTCAATATATATATATATACACCATCCTTGTCTTCTGAATTGAATAAGTGTGGAGTGGCACACAGAAGTGGCAAAGGCCAGTGAACCCACCATTTCTGTTCCCAGTTCTGTTCATAACCTGGTGGGCAGCAGACATTTTCCACTTCATGCTCTATCAGGGTGTATAAATCATCATTTCAAGGTTAAATACAAATGAAAACTACCTCAACCTTCTTCCGTGTTTAAGTAGATGCACATGTCATTAAGGGGGTTGTTGAACCTTCCTACTCATGCTACTTAAGGGGTGATGTGATCTGGTGGGGTTGAGAGTTGCAGAGCTGGAAGCAGAACCCTACATGGGTGGGTTACACTGCTGATCTCTCATTCCTGGTGTTAGAATTGTGCTCCAGAAGGATTTAGGGCAAGTTCAAGATTGGATTCCCCATGCTGGAATGGAGGCAGGAGGATGGTAGTCACGAGCACAGGTTGAAAGGCAGTAAGGATAATGGGTGTGTTAGTCAGCTTCCCGTGACTGTAACAAATATCCAAGATAAATAAACTTATAAAGAGAAAAGTCTATCTTGGCTTACAGTTTTGGAGATTTCAGTCCATGATTGATTGGCCCTGTTTCTTTGGGCCTGTGGTGAGGCAGCACATCATGGCAGGAGCATATGGTGAAGCAAAACTATTAACCTAATGGCTGAGATGTAAAAAAGAGAGGGTGGGGAAGGAGCTGGGGTCCCACTATCCCCTTTAAGAGCACACCCCCAATGACCCAAAGACCTCCTGCTAGGAGGCCTTTCCACTTCTTAAAGCTTCTGCCATCTTTCAAGAGCCTAAGCTAGGGACTAAAAAAATCCTTTAACAATGGGGCCTTTGGGGGACATTTAAGATCCAAACTATTGCAGTGAGGGATGGGGATACAGCTCAGTGGTACAGCATTTGTTTAGCATGTATAAAGTTGCTAGGGTTTGGATCCCTAGCAACACAAAACAAACAAACAAAAAACCCAAAGCATGCCAGTGGGTGACATCACGGACACTGAGAAAGCACAGGATCTCCATTGAAAAGCATTTTCAATCTCAGTGAAGAGCATTGGGAAGGCCCTGAGAAGCAAAACCCAGATGAAAAAGGCAAGGGAGGAAAAGGCCAGTCCCTCTCCCTAGAAATTCTACTCTGGCCCTATTCCACATCAATTAGAAGCCACATTCCCCTGCTGACCTCAGAATGACAGAGCTTTGAGACATTTATATTTAATAACCTTGGGTCTCACATGCTAACTAGCAAAGTAAATCACTGACATCATCACTGGTCACTGGTCCATTGTGGCAGGAATTACTCACTAGTTGGGGTGCCTCTGAAGCCCCTGAAGACTTCCTTCACAAAGCCTTCCTGCAAATGCTCTTCTCTCGAGGCTGGGTGGGAAATCTTCTGATTATTAACAGGCTTTCATTTCAGAAGGAAAACCAGCTGAGAGTCATTCTGTATCTTGGAGAGTCATCACCCTGTGATACAGTGTGAACAGAAAGCACTGGGGCTGCCCCAGGCCTCAGATGACTCTCCATAGAAGAACGAGGGGAGGGGAAAAACCCAGGAATTGAGTATCTTTAGCAATTCCACTTCTGTGGCCACACTTGACCTTGTCACCACTCACTCAAATTATCATTTACCTATAACAGTCTGGGCTTCCCTGTGCCTGAATGAACACAAAGTCTGATTTTCTCATCTTTCTTTTCATCCATCCCCATCCTCCTTGGGTTACCTTCCTTCTTCATCCAACACATAATGTGTGACCCATCACTTCAGCTTCCTTGTTGTCAGTACCCCCAGTGGTTTAGTATTTCCTGTTCTTGACCTTGTTCACCCCTCACTTTCAATTCTTCAGGCCTGTGCCCAGAGCTAAGGCCCTGAGAGTCATCCATGCAAGTTGAGAGCCCTGGTGCTGCCTCAAATGCATTGGCCCCTTGGCCTGCCCAGAATTCTCCCTGTCCATTAGCAGCTCCCTTTTTCATTCTTCTCAGTGGCCTTTCCAGTCCCTCACTGGTTCCCACAAAGCCCCTTGGTTATCAGCTCCTCACCCACCCTCAACAGATGACTTTCCTTCCTACTTAAGAGCTGAAGCCACCCAGGCCAGAGTTTCCTCTGCTTCTCCGCCCTCCACCTAGGAAAGAATCAGCCCCCATACCCCTCCTTATCTACATCTAGCTTATCTTGGGGGAAGAGGAGATGTCTTCCTGCTCCATGGTAACACCTTGTGACCCTGGACCTTTTTGTACCATGTCCCATCATCTTCTCCTACTCAGCCTCAACATTCTCTTTTTCCTTAGCTCTTCTCTTCAGTCAGGTGCCAGGGAACCTCAGTAATTCCATCGTGAACTATATCACTTTTGCCAATGACCACAATAACTTTATGATTTTTAAATCTGGAGAAACTGTGTAATTTTCAGACCCTTTCTGAAGTGGCCCTTCTGAGATGTGTTGCTGCTCACCACTTTCTCCTCCAGTCTCCTCCCTCTTGGCTTCCATGACAACACCTCTTAATAGGTAAGGTGTATTAATGTTTTGTTATTTTATGTTCATTTATTTTCCAAAGCATCCAAATTCCTCACTTTTCAAAAAGAAGGGTTCCTCCTAAGTGTTTGTGCGATCTTATTATCCCTAGTTTGAGTTTATGTTGCTGCTACATTGATTTTATCTAACATTTATAGAGTGCTAGATATGGGCAAGGAGGGTGAGTCGCACTGCTAGCTTTCAAGGACTCTTGCAGGGATATAGGTCCAGGTTTTCTCTCTCTCTCTCTCTCTCTCTCTCTGGTGGAAGATATGTCCAAGAAGGGCTTCAAGCTGTATCTCCATTGCTGTACATAACTGCCTTTACTGTACACTTCCAGATATACATGAGTGGAAGTATCTCCTATTGGAACAAGAGTTCATTTTCTTTTGGGAAGGCCAAGGGAGGCAAACAGTGATCCCAAGCAGTCATTCATGTCTGTAACTCAGATACTCAACCCTAATGAGGCTGATCAACCTGTGTGTGGAGTTGTCCCTGTTAAACACAGCATCTGTCAGATATTATAGTAAAACTGGGTTGGCAATCCATGTGGGAGGGATTTAGTTTGGTGGGGGCTGACCTCCAAATTCAGAGAAGTGACTTCTGAGTCACACAAGTGTCTGGGACACTGGGACAGGGAAAGGAACATGGCCAGGGGAGTAGGCAGGGCTAGATGACATAGAAATGCTGCACCAAAGGGACAGGGTATCCTCCTGGGGTTATGAGGGTGTGATGAGGGTGAGCAAGGGTGTATTTCTTAAGATATTTATACATTGTCTCACTCACTAGTCAGAGAGCAAGACAGGCTTCCTCAAGTTCCAAGCTTCAACCTTGCCTTTCCTGGCAGAATTTCAAGATTTTGGTTGTTGTCAAATCCATTCATAGACCTGATTTGAGTTTCTCAGCAGGTGGATCTCTAACCTTACTGGCAAGTCTCCCACCCATACTCTAATTTTGAGGATTAAAGGAATCTAGCTTTATTTTTGGCAGTTGAATTTGAATTTCATGAGTATGTTAGACTTGAAATACATACCTGAATACGTATGGTCCTTGGAGCATGGCTGTCAGAATCACCTGGGGATAAGGGTGTTGAAAAATGAGTACGTATTTCCCCAGGCCCACCCAGACGTAGTGAATTAGAGAGAGAGAGACTCTGGGGTGGAACTTAGAACTCTGCATGTTAAAATCCTCCAGAATGCTCTGTTACTAAAGTTTGGGACACACTGATGTTGAAAGCAATGTGACTAAGCAAAGGGCACACTCTCAATGTGCCAATGTCCTGGGTCACAGGTGGTAAAATGTAGGATGGGCATCACTACCCCAGGCAGCTCATTCTAAGTGAGAATTCACCCGTAGAAATTACTGAATCTCTCTGAGCCTGAGACACCACCTCTCTAAAATGGGAAGTTTATACTGCATGCTTCTAAACTCTAAAAACGAGCAGCAGAATCATTTTGGGATAGGACAAATTCCCAATTTGTCTTTTTTTATGGTGCTGGAGATCGAACTCAGGGCTTTCCACATGCCAGGCAAACGCCCTGCCACTGAACAACAACTTCGGCCCGCGAATTAGCTTTTTTAAGCCAATTTCTGCAGCTGGGCGGGAACAGATGTGTCTGACGACCCTCTAAAACCCAAAGCCCAGAGAGATGTCCCTGATTCTCGCCGCCTCAGTTTCTCTCTCTGTCAGAGGCACTTGTTGCAGAATGCAGGAAGAGGAAATTAAGAAACGCAAAGAGCTTGGCAGAACGCTGCAGCCCCATTGAGAAAGAGACGCTCTCACACCTTCCTCTGGCACTCTTCCAGGTAACACTCCCTGCCCCGACGCCGCCCTCCTCCCGAGTCCTGACGGCAGCGATCCCTTTAACAGGCTGAGGAATCGCTCGCCCATTTCCACGTCCGCTCCTTGGCGCGCTTTGAGAGCTGGATTGGTCGGGCCTGGCGCGCAGCTTGCTCCGCCCCCTCCGTTCTCTGATTGGCTACGGTGGGCGCGGGCGCGGGGCGGGTCCGCCGACGGGGCAGGGCTGTCCGTGGCCGGGGGCGGGCTGGCGGTCCGGCGGCTGGACGGCGACTGGAGCCCGAGCCGGAGCTGGAGCAGGAGCCGCAGTCGCAGCGACCGCGGAGTACGGGCGCTGGAGCAGTACAATGAGGCAGCCAGCGGATCCGGGGTGAGCGCGCCCGGGGGCCGGGTGGGGCGGTATGGGAGCTCCCCACAGAGAAGGCCCTCACTGGGGCCGGCCCGACCCGGCAGGTCCAGGGTATTGGCTGTTCCCGCGGCCGTTGGCGCGGGGCGGGGGAGGGAGGGCCGCGGGGTTGGCTCCCCACCCCTCTGCCTTGGCCCCGCCGTGGACGGCGACGCCGACCCGAGACGTCCTGGGCTAGCCCTTCGCTGGGCGGGTCGGGCTGGACCCGGGCCGAAGGTGCCGGTCGGTGGTCCTGAGCCTGCTGTCCTGGGGCGCCGGGCTCGACCCCCGGCAGGGAGACAGCATTCACACGCTCACTGAAGGAACATGATTTGTGCTTGTGTGAGTGGTAACCCGGGTTTCTGCCGCCCCCCTTGCCCACGTCGCGACATGCCTGGAAGTGGGGGATCGCAGTTACTTTTACTGGAAGCTGTCAGTGGTGGTGTGTCTCTTGCTTGTTTTTCTCCAACGCCTGGCAGACGCCCAGTGGCCTTGGGGTGGCTTGTATGCTTTACAAGGAAGGTGGCGGCGCGCCGAAACCCTGGGGGATCGGAAGGTTAACAAGTGACATTGGGCCGAGGCCTAACGCCAGCTGCCCCGCTGGGAGCACGGAGGTGACCGTGGCAGGCCACGCTGCTGGCACTGGCTAGTAAACCCAAGCCCGACATCCTGGGACCTGGGAAGAAACAGAACAGTCGGCTCCATTGCACCACATTGCCCAGGGCTCGCTCTCCGCGCCAGAGGTGGTGCAGGAGAGTCTCCCCCACCCCCACTGAAAACAGTTTTTGGAAAACTTAGCCCGTCAGTGGGTTGATGGTTACTTAAATAATCGGTTGTTATGGTTACAGGGCATCAAATGTAAGGGCAAAGTCTGTTAACACCCTCGCTCTTTCTCCAGCGCTCTGGAGTTTACGAGGCTCTATAGATGCTCTCCAGGGGGGACACTACACTTCTTTGGAGTTGAAGGAAAGGGGTGGACTCCCACAGGGCAGAGGTTGTGCCCTATTCATGCTTGAAGTCCCAGAGTCTTGAGCATGGATTGGAAGGAAATGAGCTGTTTACAGGTTTTCTTGATTCTTGTTAAGGATATAGAGTAGTCATTTCAGGAGCCCAGGGTAAGGTGGAAGAGAGTGACTTTTAGATAGAAAGCAATAAGGAAGAATGGAGGGGCAAGTGATCTCTGATCCCTGGGATAGGGAGAGTTTGAGGAGTCTAGGTTTGTGAGTTTGGGAGCTCTGTGACACAGGGAAGCATATTGGGAGAGTGAAACTGCCATTTCTGTTTACTCTTACCCAGCCCTTTAAACTGTTTCAGTGTCTTCCTGAAACTAGTAGTTGGCCTGAATTTATGAGACACAAGTAAGCCTCCTGAGGTGATGAGAATGGAGTCAGCTTTTTGCTGGTGTCTTTCTTGTTATGTGACATGAGCCCCTCTAGGAGTGACCAGAGACTTGGAGAGGATGTGCAGGGTTCTGGGAGACAGCACCTGCTCCTTGCACACTTATCTTCAGGAAAAGGAGGGAGATGAACAAACTAATTCTGATCAGGGCGTGGTGGTAACTGAGTCCACTGACAAGTAATCCAAGGACTGGGACAGACAGATGGAGGGAAAAGTTGAGGAGTGGTTTGGGTTGAGTGCGGTTTGAAGAGCAAGTAGAATGTCATTGTGAGAGGGACTAGAGGTGTAGCATATGCCAGGTGAGTTGTTGTTTATTTGAGATTGTGTTGTTAGAATGCTTTAGCAGGCTGCTAGCAGAAGCAGGGAAGATTAGGCTTTTGGATAAAATAAGTGTATAGGATGTTTTGAACAAAGAGAAATTGCCTGGAGTCAAGAAAGAAATATTTATCAAACAACTTTTTATTGAGAGTCTGTGGTATGCCAGAAAATACCAAGCACTATGGATATGATGGTGGGAAAAAAGGGGGAAGGAGTTTGTTTTTACCATCTGCCATGTGATTGGCCTTTCCTCCAAGTCAAAAGCTTCTGTTTTCTGAAGCTCTTGAGGAAAGAAAAGGGAGAATGTACAGAATGTTACTTAATGTAAAAACAAAGCAGAGCAAGGGAGAAATTTTTTCTACTGTAGATCACCTTGGTATCAAACCACATTTTCAAAGAGCAGCTTTGTGTGTGAGGTTCAGTATGAAATACTCATTCTTATGCCTGTTGACTGGTGTCTTTTGATGGTAAGCACTTGTTCTTTTTTCCCTTTCCTGTATCAATTCTTTTATTCAAAAGTTAAGAGGTCCATTGAAGGAACACACTATCCCTGCCCTCTAGGTGCCTCCAGTTCATTTTTCTTGCCTAAATATCCCTCAGGGACTTCTTTCTTCTGTCAGATCTGTAATATCTCCTGGGGGGTCCCACTTAGGAATTGTTGAGGTCACAGGGAATGTTGAGACTTTGATTCTGTCTCAAAGCAGATGGTGACTAGCATTGAAAAGAAGGTATTGTCGAGTTCTGGCTCTGCCGGGTACCAGATCCTGCCCTTTGTGTCCTCTCCAGGCCTGCAGCAACCTCGGGTGATGGTGGTGATAGCCTCTCTTTCTGGAAGAGGAAACTGAGGCTCAGGGCTGTTCAGTAACTTGTCCAGGGTGATGAGCTGGTTACATGTGGAGAGAAATTTCAATCTAGGTCTTTCTGATTCCAAAATGCACTTCTTCCACTATACCATGTTACTGTTCCTGGTACTTATGAGCGATGATATAGTGCAGTGTCTGCTTGAGTGGGCATAAGAAAGGTCAGGTTCAGAGATGTGCAGAGAGTTGCTATAGTTAATGAGCTCCTGTGCTGTGACAGAGACAAGTTAGCTGTTTTCCTACCTCTCTGCCTACTGCAGTTTTGGGTAATACATGCAGCCCTCGGAAGATCTGGTTCTACCACTGTGAAAAGGTGACCAGGCTTTCTGGGTCTGAATCCCTGTGCATCTACTCACCAGCTCTTAGATAAAGTCACACCTTAGATAAAGTCATCTCTTTGTCTGTAAAGTGAGGATAATATTCACATTTCAATAATGCCAAGACAGTGTATATGTGCTGTCTTTAACATTTCTAAAAAAAATAAAATTGTAATCTATAGGGTCTTGCAGCTATAGCTGTACCTAATATAATGGTGCCTAATATAATGGTGTGTCTTCTAGTCAGTGGAGTTAGATTAGATGGACTATGGTGGTACATTATGTATAGGTTGTTGTGAGGATTAAATGAGATTGCTCTCTATGTCCCTGCCTGTAGTGAGCACCCAGTAACAGTTGATGCTGTCAAGTGACAGAATGAAACGTAGGTGGCTCTGGGGTAGAGCTGTGGAGCATCCCATAAGCATTACCACTTAGTGCCCAGGCAGTGATCTGCAAGCTGTGGGCTGGAGGAACAGTTTGCAATTTGCCTGGAGCTCCATCCTTTGGCTGACTCTTGTCCCTGTTAGAAGCATTAACTTTAGAAGCTAATGAGCCATGGACAAACAGCTCCCTTTGTCCTGCCTGTTCATTAAGGTCTTTGACAATTTCAAATCTCAAGTTAAAAATAAATACCAGATGAAAAGCCTGGAAACCTGTGCTGATGTTGAGTATTCCTACATGGGAGTTTTAAAGTACCTCGCGGTTGTACTCAAGATTCTGTGCTGTTCATTTTCAAACTCCTTTTTATGCTTACTTGCATTGTGTGAACTGTCCATGAGACTCTGTTAATGAGAAGGATGCTAGAAGATTGTAAAAATACAGAAGGCTTTGTCTGTACTGGATGAGGTAAGGAGAACCCTGGACTTGGTGTCAGAGGCCTGGTTATAATCCTGGTGTTGTCACCTGTTATTCCCAGCTTCACCACTCTGGGCTTTAAGGGATCTCTTCCAGAGTGAGCATTTCATTTCTTAGTTACTTGACTCCAACACAGTCTCATAGATTATATGAGTTTATTAATCTAAGGATCTGAGACATTAACTGCTTGAAAGGAAATGACTTTATTCAGGACTTTCAAAGTGTCATTTGGATGTTTGTAAAAGTGCCATGGCAATGCTGGGAATGGACTTTATATGAGTACCACTGAGCTACATTCCCAGCCTAATTATGAATCTTAAAATGAGGAAGCTGAGGTTCTTAAAGGGTTCTTAGAGGGTCAGGGTTTATAGCTGGAGCTCAGGCTTCTGTTGCTCCCTAGTATGAGTTTTATGATAGTTTCAAGTGGGTCCTGACTCATTTTTGGTTTTGGCTTTTGTTTTTATATAGTACTAGGAATTGAACCAAGGCCTTGTGCATGCTAAGCAAGAGCTCTACTGCTGAGCTACATCTCCAGTCCATCTGCCTCATTTTGGAATCCTCTCAAGCCATTCCCCACCCTGTGAGATTTCTCAGGTTGAAAAGGAAAAGTTGAGCTGTGGTATACGCTGTAATCCCAGCTACTTGGGAGGTAGAGATAGGATGTCAAGTTCAACGGCAGTCCAGGCAAAGTTTGCAAGACTCTATCTCCTAAAAAAAAAAAAACAAAAGGGGAGAGGGAGTAGCTGGGGGCATAGCTCAAGTGGTATAGCTGCCTAGCAAGCTGGAGGCCATGGGCTCAATCCCTAGTACCGCAAAAAAAAAAAAAAAAAGGAAGAGTCCCCTGCTTTGAGGTCACACATTTCTGGTCTATAATTATATACCTACACCTGTTTCAATTCTGAGTAAATTGGGGGAACCTAACAGTGGAGTCTAAAGAATAACTCTGATGAGAGGTGCCAGAGACTTAAGTCCTTGAAAGGAAAGGTTTTCCTTTGGTGAGCAAAAGCCATTGACAGGGTCACTGTGATATAAATGAACTATTGAGAGAAGAATTTGCCCTGTACTGTGGAAGCTCAAAGGATGGGAAACCTGGGTGGGCTTTGAAGCCCAAGGTAACCTTTGTCTGTTGGATTTGCCTGGAATATTCATTCTAAGGGCTTTTCTCTAAGAAGATTATTGGAACTAAGGCATCCAGTGCTTTCGTGGCTTATTCTCACAGTTGAGAATGGCACAGAGCAAGAGGACTGTCTTCAGTCATAAGCTTATTTAGGATTTGAGATCAAAACTCACCCTTTGAATTGCTCTTGCAAACTACTTTTCAGTCACAATATCCCTTTTATAAGTTTCATTTCTCTTTTGCTATTTAAAGCTGACATAAGCTGACTTGTTTTCTTATCCAGTTTTTAGTCCTTTCTTATACCTAATGCTATCTTTTAAGTAGCATCCCTAAAGATGTTATATTTATCACTTTGGGCTTGAGTAGAGAATTATTTTATTTTCCTTTTTACCAGAAGGACTGACTGAACAATGGTTATCAGTCACTTACCAAGTATTTGAGCATCTCCTGGGGTCAAGCACTGTGCTTGGCATTGGA